ATATTTTAACTCCATGAAACAAAGTGGTGAAATTTTCCCTGTATATGACTGTACTTGACTGTGCCTGAAATACTGTGTTCAGTTTGGTGAACTTCTTCACTAAAAGGATATTGACAAACTAGGTGAGTTCAGATAAGATCAACAAAGATTATCATCAGGGTGGAGGGATTGATTTATAAAGAAAATTCATAGAGGGCACATCTACACAGCAGGGCAAAATTTGAATTAAGCTATGCAACTTGAGCTTCATCAACTGCATCACTGACGTCAAAATAGCTTAATTCAGCATTTGGCACTGTCTACACAGCAGGAAGTTGAAGGAAGAATAATCTTCCCTTAATTTCCCATACTCCTTGTGAAATGAGGGCTACTGGAGTCAGAGTAAGAAGTTCTCCAGCTCAGCATTATTTTGAAATAATGGCTTGCTGTGTAGACATGCTCTTTGTTATTCGGAATAATGTCAGCTACTCCGAAATAATGCTGCTGTGAAATAATGCTCCCGGTTACACCAGTTTAAGTCTGGATTGATTTTGCCAAAATATATGACATTTCCCTGCATTTTCAAGGGTGTAACCCCCTGGAGAAGGTCACCCAAAATGTATAGACTGGCTAAGCGGCAGTGAAGTAGGGAAAAGAGAGCAGCTGACATCTATTTGACAGAAGGCAGAGGAATACATCGAAGAGGGAGAGTCTCAGAGGGGTAGCTGTGTTAGTCTAACTGTAAAAAAAGAGTAGTTCTGTAGCAAGTTGGGTACATCTACACAACGGCGCTATTTTGGGATAACGTGTGATATCCCAAAATAGTTTTCTGCGCATCTTAACAGCAATCCCATTATTTCAAAGGACAGTTGAAATAACAGGCTTGTTATTCTGACATCCCATAAACCTTGTTGCATGAGGATTAAGGGACTCATTGGAATAGTGCTCTATTTTGAAATTAGCACTGTTTAGACAGAGCCAAATTTAGAAATAGGCTCTCTCAAAATAAGCTATATAATTTGTGTAGCTCAAATTGCATAGCTTATTTCAAGCTACATGCTACTGTGTAGATGTACCCTCGGAGACTAACAAAAATATATATAGTATCATGAGCTTTCATGGGAAAAACCTGCTTTCTCAGATGAGCAGAAAGGGTTTTGCCCATGAAAGCTCATGATACTATATAGATATCTTTGTTAGTCTTGAAGGTGCTACAGGACTACTTGTTTTTTAAATTATTTAAGACTACAGGCATGTGTCGGGAAAAGGAAGAGTTTAAACTGAATGGGAAAAAATCTTGACAGAGAAGTGTATTAAGTTGTGTAACTTATAGTGAAACCTCATTATCTGGTGACTCTCAACTCTAGATAAGACATAGCACCAGAAGATATATTGCAGGGAAGCCTCCAGAACTGGCTGGATGAGCTAGTAGGATTTCTTCTACATGTGATTCTCTGAGCAGGAAAAAATGCAACAATTTCACTATGGGTTGTGACCTCCCCAGTTTCTCAGAAGCTAAACAGAGACAGGTCTGGTGAGAATTTGCATGGGAGATTCCAGAAGAAACACCTAATGTAATTACTGAAACTCTGCAGCTTGAGGGTGGAGTTCAGTTCCAATGGATCAAGTACCTCCAACTTACAGAACAGAAGCCAAGGATGCAAATTAATAACATAAAATATATGGTGCTCCACTCTGGGACCAAAATGATGATAATGCATACAAAATACCTGTTTTATAGACATATCAGATAAAGGAAAAGACAGCAAATAATCAACCCTGGTGAATTTTGTTTAGGTTAGTAAAGCTAACGCTATGATGTGTGCCCTTTAGATTTGGGTAGTCATTTTTTAAAATATGGGACTATGAACTCAATTATTCTTGCAGCCAGAAACTCACTGTTAATGAAAAGCTAGCTATTGCTTCAGGTCTTTTGGATAGGGCGCTAACATGGAGTCAATTGACCTGTTTCTACTGCCAGCTTAACCACGAGCCTATTTTGTGAGGTTCCGCTTTACCAGCCATCCTTTGCTTGTCTTGTCTATTTACATTGTAAATTCTTCAGTGCAAGGACTCAACCGTCTCTTCCTTTGTTTATAGAACATCTAGTAAAAAGGGGACTTGATTTAAGTGGAGGCCTACAGGCACTACTGTAATATAAATAATATACTATTTAAGAAATGTAGTTTTTCCTTTATTTTTAAACTAGAAGATTTACCTGGCATTTCTCAAGCCCCTAACTTTTTTGTTCTTCTTAATTTAAATCATGCTCTGGGGTGGGGATGAGGGGCTCAGTAGGCAGGGTGCCCAGGGGAGAGAGGATATCCCTAGCTTTCTCTCACAGCAGCAACTTTGTGAGAAACACCTCTTCATGGTTGCTGCAGCTCCAGCAGGCACAGTTGGGAGGAATACATGTCTCCTGGCTGGGGCAGATCCAGGTTCATCTGTCTCCTGTGGTCCCCACCAGATTGAAGTATGGACCAAACTGTGCTCTTTCCCCTTGCTCTCTAAGGGTATGTCTACACTACCACCCTAGTTCGAACTAGGGTGGTAGTGTAGACATACCCTAATAGATTAGTAAGACAGGATTTCCCTTTACAGAAACCATGTTGACTTTTGTCCAACAAATTATGTTCTTCTACATGCGGCGCCCGGCTTTATGCAAATGAAGCCCGGGAAATTCAAATCCCGGGCTTCATTTGCAACTCCGGTTGCCTACATTACCACCCTAGTTCGAACTATGGTGGTAGTGTAGACATACCCTAATGCAGAGGAAGAGCCAGCAATTTTTCTGCATGAATGGGGGAGGAGGGAACTGCAGCCCCCACCATCCTCCCTAAAAGACACCTGGGGGTAGGAGGCTCGTGACTTGGGCAGTTCTGGACGGGAGCGCTCCCAGAAAGCCCCTTTCACCTATTGATGATTCTGTACACTTAGGGGAGAGGAGCTTCAGCCCCCTCCTTCCTTCCCACACAACCACATCCATGCCTTGCATTAAGTTATGATAAGAGGAAGCCATATATTGAATTTGGTGGTCTTAGCTCTTACAGGGTCCAGAAGCAGGTATGGGTGCAGGAGAGTATTCTGACCTGGAGGAGGTTGTGTGGGAGTGCAGATTCTGGAAAGGGATTGTGGCCTGAGGCAGGGGTGCAGCATGGGGTTCAGAATTTGTGTGGTGACCTAGGGTAGGAGGGTGTTGTGACCTGTGGTAGGGTATTGGTGTGCAGTGCCTGCTTGGGGGTAGGTGTGCAGAAGCGGAGGTGCAAAAAGTTGCGGGGAAGGAGGAGGGAAAGTGCCAGTGTAGGCTCTGGCTGAGAGACATTTATTTTAGGCAGCTTCTGGCCAGCAGCTCAGTGGGACCCTCAGGCAGGCTCCCTGCCTGCTGAGCCCCCACATACCACTTAAAATGGCCGGCTGTGGGGAATATGTGCTTCTCGATGCACAGTGAAGGAGGGCCCTCCATGCACCGCCTGTGCTGCAAGCATAAATCAGGCAGCTCCCACTGGCTAGTTTTCGGCCAATGAACGCTGTGAGACTGTGTTGGGGGCGGGATCAGTATGTGAAGCCCCACTCCACCCGGGGTGTGCAGCACTCAGAGAAGCACATAGGTCCCACAGCTGCCTACTTTGAGCAGTATGTAATGGGAGTGGAAGGCAGAGAGCCTGCCCAAGGTTCTTGGTGGGCCTGGAGGGCAGTGGCTGGCCAGATATGGTGGTTTGGAAGGCTGAATGAGGCCTGCAGGCTGTATTTTGCCCACCCCTATATGGGTATGTCACACTACCACCCTAGTTTGAACTAGCGTGGTGCTGTAGTCAACTGGAGTTGCAAATGAAGCCCGGGATTTGAATTTTCCAGGCTTCATTTGCATGTTGCCGGGCACCGCCATTTTTAAATGTCCGCTAGTTCGGATTCCGTGCCCCGTGGCTACACGCAGCACGAACTAGGTAGTTCGGACTAGGCTTCCTATTCTGAACTACCGTTACTCCTCGTCCGAAGGAAGCCTAGTCCGAACTACCTAGTTCGTGCTGCATGTAGCCGCGGGGCACGGAGTCTGAACTAGAGGACATTTAAAAATGGCGGCACCCGGCAACATGCAAATGAAGCCCAGGAAATTCAAATCCCAGGCTTCATTTGCAACTCCGGTTGACTACAGTACCACCCTAGTTCGAACTAGGGTGGTAGTGTAGACATACCCTAACAAACTATACTTGCACTAACAACTGATATACCATGCCAGGTCTAAGTTATAGATACTGGAGTGAGATTTGGGGGCATGCCGCACGTGAAGGCATGGTTGTAGCACAGGTAGGCATGTCCTTTCTAGTTTTAATTTAGCTACCCCAGCTAACAGTCATAGTATAAAAGTGATGGCACAGGTGTCAGTATGGGCTAGCAACCAGAGTACATATCCAGGATTCGTAGTGGGCGTGTATTTTATGCTGGTTACTAGTATGTTCTGAAGCCCATGACACCATATTTCCCCAGCTGTTTCCAGCACTAGCCCGCATAAGAGCAAGCATGAATATGCTTACCTGTGCTGCAGCCATGCTTTGACTTGCTGTAGACAGACATGCCAGAGAACAGCAAATTGCACCTCATTTTGTTTTGCAAAATGGCTGATGCAAAAAGCCAATGCGATTTTAGACTGCATGGAGAAAAGGCTTACTTCATGAAGTAAGTAGCACAACTACAATACACTGAGCAAGCTTGTGTGCTTTTCAATGGATGCCTAAAAGTCCGTTTTAAACCCATACTGCAGCTATTTAAATATATGGCCTGATTTTCAAAATTGTTGAATATCTGCAAATTTCTCTTGATTCACATGGGAACTGCTGAACACAAAGTGCAATGTGTTTTCCTCTGAGATGCTTATAGTTACAGACATTTAGAAAGCTCAGTACAGATGGACACATTTCCTTTCAATCTCAAACACTCCAAATTAATCAGTAACAAAAGCCTTCAAGCCTGAGGGAACATATTGCAACATGACCACAATTGTTTTGCTAGAAGGCAGCCTGTGTCCCAGTCTCTCTGAAATGAGAATTGTACAAACATGGATAAGCGCAGGAAGTCAGCAGTTGAATATCTGTACAAGGCACTGGTTGATAGTGAAAAGGCAGCCCCTGAAGACTTGCCAGTGCCCTGCTGCTTTTTGCAATCCTGAAACTTTGAAAGTTCTTGATTCTTTTGAAGCCGGGAGTGACAATATGATCTTGGCAGGACACCCTAAAAATGGTGACTATTGCTAGCTTGTTACAAAAATTAAATGCGAGCTGTTATAGGTATGAAAGTTTAGGCAGCCTTTAGTGCATATTCAGTAGTTCTATGTCTAGTGTTTAGCCGTTTAGAATGTGAACTTGTACTTTGCAGGAAACAAATCTCGGGTGGAAAGATTGGATCCTATTTTGCTCTCCGTTGTACTGCTGTAAATTTGCAGACACTCAACTCAAGCCAAATGAATGATTCCACATTTACCCAGCTGAAATATGAGAATAACATATTTTGACTCACAGAAATGAGATTTTCAAGATTTCACATAACTGTGATCACGAGTGTTTCTGTTTCCCCAAAACTGATTTTTTTCCCTTTTAGATGCCACTGTTATTATATATTGCTTTTGGTCAAGCTAATACTAATAGTTTACCATGAATTGGCAAGTAGGAGCATAGTCATTGATGATGGTGGTGCCTATAACTGTGTGTCCTACATATATCTATGACTTGAACTCACCTTAAGAACATGGTTTTTAATTTAGAGATTTATAACTATATATTGTTAGTTGCAAAAGAGTATGTGTTCCACAAACAGGTCTGTTCCTGTTTCTTGACAGATTATTTGTCCCAATGGGTCACTCATAACTTGTGCCCTAAACAATAGAAAAATTCCTGCATCAAAATAAGATATCAGTTTAGTTAGCTACTATACTTGAACATTAATGTTTTCTCTTGAATAGTAATTGATACCATACATAGCCCTGGTATACATAGGGAGTTATTTTGAAATAAATCCATTTAAAAAAAAAAAAAGTGGAGCGTCCACACTCCCAAGCCCTTTATTTTGAAATAAGGGGCTAGTTATTTTGAAATAACTCCTGCTTTCCATTTCAAAATAGTCGTAGTGTGGACACGCCTCTGCTGCTATTTCAAAATAACTACTCCCCAGAGTCATTCAAAGTAATTACTCCCCAGTGCTTCCTGAGGCTCTAAGTCGAGGTAGTGCGTCCACATTAAGGGAGCCCACCTTAGACTAATTTCAAGGCTTCCCTGTAGAGTGGACATACTATTTCAAAACAGTTATTTCGGGAGTTATTATTTCAAAATAAGTTGTTTAGAAATAATTTCCCATGGGTATTTGCAACTAAGCACAACCAACTCTTGTGACAATTTTCACTTCAGAAGTCTTTCAACCACTTTCTATCTTGTTTCAGGTACTAACTGGCTTGAACAAGTCATAAATGACCTGGAAATTACAGCTGCAAAATATACAGAGGAGGAAATTAATGAGAGAATTAATATTAGAAATGAATTCTCAGTATTTCCATGTCCAGAATCTGGGGATCCAGAGAAATTTAAGGTCAGCATGGGGTCATATTACAAATGTTAACATGCACTGTTCAACATACATAAGAATTGATAAAATGTAATGGCTGAATTTTACAGATTGTGGCGGACTCTTACCTTCCCCCTAAGGTGTGACCAGGTCAGCACATTCAGGGTGCAGTGTATTTGCTTAGCCACTCCATAACTGGAAATCATGGAGGTTCAGAAAAGGGATGGAAAATGCATGCAGAGGACTTTCCTACCACTAGAGTTCTTTAGATCCTGGTCTTTCACTCGCTTGCTCTTTCCTTTGCATTACTATGGTCCCCATAGAGCTGACTACATGGAGAGGATGGATTTGAGAGTCCCCACCCCAGAAGAATCCATTAGGAATGGGACGGGGCATTGAGGCAAGTTTCTGTTACCCCTTTCCCTTTCATTTTCAAATCGAGTCTCCCATTCTGGTTGCTAATAACTCCTTTTGTAGCTCCCAGTTATCTCCAGGGTTGATTTGCTGCTTCGCAGTTTTTCAGTCCCCTTCCTTTCATTTTATGAGAAACAATCACATTTCAGGCACATAGAATCATAGAACCACAGAGCTGGAAAAGACCTCAGAAGGTCATCAAGTCTACCCTGCTCTAGGCAGGACCAATCCCAACTAAGGACCACATCCCATTGTCCTGGTACAACCCAATCTTTACCTTGCTTTAAGTTATGATAAAAGGCAATATTGTGGTCCTTTTATCAGTTAGGAGTTCTTGAACAGACTCAGAGAGATGGGTGACCAACACATAAACTCTCTCAAATACATAGTAGATTTTTCCATCAGGAAAAATCAAAACTATTCAGTGAGACTGAAATTTTCAGAAAACTGCATTTTCTGCCAAAAGACACTTGGTCAGAAAATTCCAAAGCCCTTTAAAATCTAGATATAGATGTAGACACAGGCCAAGATTGTCAGAATTGACTAGTGGTTTTCAGTGCACAGCATGAGATTCCATAAAAGAGCCTGCTTCTCAGAGGACTGATGCTCAGCACTTTCTAAAAGTCAGAATGAGTTAAGGAGTTTCAAACCAGCCACCCCCAAAACTGAAACCTCTTGTTGCTTGTGAAAACTTGGGCCAATCATGTATGTGTGTGTGCATATTATTCAATCCAAACAGTGTTGATTTCTCAAATAGTACTTAATATAAAAACAATAATACTGATGCATATATGAACCAACAGCAACAAACCTAGTTTATTATAATCCTATTTTTAGCTCAAGTCTGTCACAGTTAGACATTATTTTCTTCATTTCAAAATTACATGTAGACTTGGTGGCTCTAGACAGCTTTCTAGCAAATGTAACTCGGCTCCAATCCTAGGCATGGTTCTGAAGAGAATTGTGACAACCTGGGAAACAGAGGTTTTGGGTGGCCTGGGATGTTAGAGTTGGTGAGAGACTAATGAACTGACAAAAGAGTACTTGTGGCCTAATGGCATGAAAAATAACATGTTCATTGGCTGGTATAACATAGCATAATTGGTTGGGTTTTCTGTGGAAACTAAAGGTATAGGAACCAGCAGCTCTCTTCCCCCACAATCTCATTGCATTTTGAAAATGGACTTCCCAGGGAAGCTTTTACAGACAAAAAAGCTTTTACAGACAAATTGGCCAGCCCCACTTCCTGCCGGCCAATTCCCCCCAGCCAGCCCCGCTCTCCCTGACCCCCTCCCGGCCAGGCCTGCTTCTTGCCGGCCAGTTCCTTCCCCCGATCTCCCCTGGCCATCCCTGCTCCCTCTGACTCCCTCCTGGCCAGCCCTTCTTCCCATTGGCTGGTTCCTTCCCTCCCTCTCCCGCCGCCCTTCC